ACCTGTGGGCTCCTACCTGTGGGCCCCTACCTGTGGGCTCCTACCTGCGTACGACTGCCTGGTTAGCTCCGCTCTCGCCCCCAGCGCTCTTGGGGGCAAAGATTTTTTTAAGAGTAGACGCAGAAATGCTACTTGAAGGAGCAGATCATATGATGTTGTGTTTAAAATGAGTGTTTATGTAATTATTTTCAGTTTACATGTCAAGTATAAGTTTTATTCATTCAAGACAGTCATGTTTGTTCATAACTTTAAGCCGGAGAACTACCGGATCCAAGCAAAGTTACCGGAACACACCCCGTCAAAATAAGAGAGTTCTCTGATCCTGTTCCGGCAGAATCCAGCTCAAATCAAGCCCTGGCAGTAAAACAGAGTCCATGTGTGAATGAAGGAGCAGAGGTCACAAAGGTGCAGGACTTCAAGGACTTGGGGTCCACTGTCCAGGAACAAGGGGAGTGTGGTGAAGAGGAGAAGAAGAGAGTCCAGAAAGGATGGAGTGATGGAGAAAAGGTTCAGGAGTGATTTGTGACAAAAGGGTGTCAGCAAAAGTCAAAGGAAAAGTTTAGAGGACAGTGGTGAGACCAGCTATGTTGTCTGGTCTGGAGACAGAGACATGGACAAAAAGACAGAAGACAGAACAGGAAGTGGCAAAAATGAAGATGTTGAGGTTCTTCTTAGGAGAGACAAGGATGGAGAAGATCAGGAATGAGATCATCAGAGGTACAGCACAGGTTGAACAACTGGGAGATAAAGTTAGAGAGGACATACTGAGATGGTTTGGACATGTCCAGAGGAGGGACAGTGGGAGGGACATGTCCAGAGGAGGGACAGTGGTTTGGACATGTCCAGAGGAGGGACAGTGGTTTGGACATGTCCAGAGGAGGGACAGTGGGTATATTTGTAGAAGGATGTTAGAAATGCAGCTGCCAGGAAAAAGACAAAGAGGAGACATGTGGACGCAGTTAGAGAGGACATGGAGGTTGGAGTGAGGACAAAGTGAGATGGAGGAGGACTCGCTGTGGAGACTCCTGAACAGGGAAGAGCTGAAAGAAGAAGAAGAAGAAGATGTGTTTGAAAGATAAAAACGTACTTTGTCCACAGAGAGCAGGTCAGACCTTCAGAGGAGAAATATCCGTCCTGACAGTCTTCACACACCGTGTCGCTTCTGTTGGTCCCTACAAGAAACAAACCAAGTTGAACACAAAATTAAAAAACATGAAACTTGGACATGAGTCTTATTTCACTATGTCTCACCTGGTTCTTTGATCCTCTGTCCAGGTTTACAGAGTGAATGTTCCTCCGCCTCGCTGCACCCTGACGCTGCTACAGTTTTACAGAAAAATCCCTTTAACGCCTCACAAACTGTGTCCGCTGTTGTTGAACACTCCTGGTCAGCAAAGAGACCGTCGCCTGAAAACAAACATCCAAACTGGCATCACTGCAAATGTAACTAAACGGACTGCCCGGTAGATGATGTCAGATGTTTGACTGTACCCGGGTCACAGGAGGTGCAGGGGAAGCACTTCTTCAGGCCGTTGGGTTGGTTCATGAACGTCCTCGCCTCACAGGGGACGCAGCGAGTCCCGAACTCAACCGTGCAGTCTTTGCCAACAACCGTTCCTGTTCCATTGAACACGTTCATGTTAGTCCGACTTCAAACGACACGACGAGAAATGAACATCAAGCTGAAAACTGTTTGGTTGAAGCTGCTGGGTCACTGGTTCGATCAAACACTGGGTCCAAAGGTTTGACCCAGAGCTTGGTTTGGAGGTGAGCCGTGTCATGCTTCACGGTCGGCCATTTTAAGCCAGATGTAGATGGTAAAAACGTCAGCAGCGTCAGCAGCAGCGTCAGCAGCAGCGTCAGCAGCATCAGCAGCAGCGTCAGCAGCAGCGTCAGCAGCAGCGTCAGCAGCAGCGTCAGCAGCAGCAGCAGCAGCGTCAGCAGCAGCGTCAGCAGCAGCAGCGTCAGCAGCGGCAGCAGCGGCAGCAGCGTCAGCAGCATCAGCAGCGGTCAGCAGCAGCGGTCAGCAGCAGCGTCAGCAGCGTCAGCAGCGGTCAGCAGCAGCGTCAGCAGCGTCAGCAGCTTCAGCAGCGTCAGCAGCTTCAGCAGCGTCAGCAGCGTCCATCATACCGCTCAGAGAGGAGACAGATTCTGGTTGCATGAACGTGTTTTGGTGCTAAATGTGCAGACCAACCCCAAAAGAGAAGCTAAAAGCTTTGTGGAGATGCTGCTGAAGCTGGTCAGAGTCGTTGTCCAGAGCGAGACAAGTCAGAGTCAGAGTTTCTTTATTGTCATTCGCACCTCATGTGGTACATGTGGTGGAGCGAAATTATGTACACAAGGTCCCAGTTACATCCAACAATGTATAAGAAAAACAGTAATAACATCTAAAATATGAACTAAGAAAAACATCAACTAAATATACACTAAGCACTCATAACATAAAACATTGAACATCAGCACAAACATGAACATGAGTCTGTGAGCAGATGTGCACGCATGAACACATCAACATTGAAACAGATCAGCAGCAACATGAAACAGATCAGCAGCAACATGATATGATTTTTCACAGTGATTATTCTAGTTAGAGATTCATGAGTCTAACAGCCTCAGGGTAGAAGCTGTTCCTCAGTCTAGTGGTTCTACACTTAATGCTCCTTAACCTCCTTCCTGAGGGGAGTGGGGCAAAAAGTGTGTGTGCTGGGTGGGTGGGGTCCTTCATGATGCAGGTGGCCCTCTTCCTGCATCTGGAGGTGTAGATGTCTGTGATGGTGGGGAGACTGACTCCAACATCTTCTGTGCAGCCTTCACCACTCTCTGCAAAGCTTTTCTTTCTGCAGCTGTGCAGCCTCCATGCCACACGTTGATGCTGGAGCACAGGATGCTCTCCACTGCACACCTGTAGAAGGAGGTGAGGACTGAGCTTCCCAGACCAGCTCGTCTCAGCCGTCTGAGGAAGTAGAGTCTCTGATGAGCTTTCTTGATCAGGCTGGTGGTGTTGTTGCTCCAGCTGAGGTTGTCATTCATGTGTACACCCAAGTACTTGTAGCTGGAGACCACTTCCACCGCAGATCCTCTTATGTTCAGGGGGGTGTAGGTGTTTTTGTTCCTTCTGAAGTCCACAATCATCTCCTTTGTCTTCTTCACATTGATGTGAAGGTTATTCTCTCTGCACCAGCTCTCCAGGTGTTCCACCTCCTGCCTGTAGCTGGACTCATCATTGTTTGTGATGCATCCCACCACCGCTGTATCATCTGCAAACTTTACAATGTGACAGCCTGGATGGGTAGCTGCACAATCATACGTGAGCAGAGTAAACAGGAGGGGGCTCAACACACATCCCTGAGGAGAGCCAGTGCTGAGGGTTATGGTGGAGGAGGAGAGGTTGTGGATCCTCACTAACTGTGGTCTGTTTGTTAAAAAGTCTAGTACCCAGTTGCAAATGGAGGGACTTAGTCCTAGTGTGGATAGTTTGTCCATCAGGGTTTGGGGGATCATGGTGTTGAAGGCGGATGTGAAGTCCACAAAGAGCATACGGACGTAAGAGTTTTTCTGCTCCAGGTGGTTGAGCGCAGTGTGGACCACAGAGGAGATTGCATCCTCTGTTGATCGGTTCTCACGGTGCATACTGATGAGGGTCCTCGTTGATGTTGATGGTTGTTTTGATGTGAGTCATGAAATCCTGGACCAACGTGGACTGACAGGACACTCGCAGAGGACAGATTAGATCTTCAGTGAACTGTTTGTCCATAATCACCATCGATACATTTGAAGAGGAAGATGAGAACATCATCCCAGCTGTGAAGCACAGGGCTGTTCTTCACAAAGAAGATGGCATCAGGAGGAAAGAACATATTGACGCATCACTTCAAGACATCAACCAGGAAGTGAAAGCTTCAACACTAATGGATCAATCAAATGGACCAGGACCCTGCCAGATTGGTACAGGACACCTCAAGTTGGGCTTTCCGGCTGCCTCCATGTGATTTCTGATTGGACTGAGGTGGTGAGGGGGTTGAAGCCAACCCATCTGGTGCGCCTTTGAGCTGGGAAGCGAGGTAGTAACAGAGGTGAAACAGTCACGGTGTGGAAAGGTAAGCCGGAGCCGCGGCTCATTATTGTGATGACGTCTGGTCTGTGCGATCACCCTGTCAGGAGAATAAACACTTTTTTTTTTGACAGAAGATACGTCTGTCACACAACCAATACCAAGCAAGTTCTGCTCCACGCCTCGAATGGTTCTGTGATGCTCGCTCCATTTCTGAAAGCTCCAACTTCAGCTGTGATTATGACTGTTTTATGAGAGAGCCTTTACAAAGTGGATTAAAAGTCTGATCACCATCAGTCCCACAGAAGATGAGCGGGCGGCCTACAAACCTGATTCAGACCCACCAGTTCTGTCAGGAGGAACAGAACTAAACTCCAGTAAACTGTGTGAAAAGGTTGTGGAAGGACGCTTGACCCAAAAGATACAGTTTGAAGGCACCGATACCAAACACTAACAAGACTACCGTACCATACACGATACATTAAACGCCCGTCAACAAACTATTACACAGCAAGATTCTAGAGCAATGACTGGACCAGGAAAGATCTTGAATAACCTTTGACCTCAATCTGTGACCTTGACCTTGAAGCCGTAGTGAATCTGCACTGATGTAAAACAGGAAAGCTTCAATTTGATTTAATGTCAGATGGTGTATGTAAACATCTGGTGAGACGGCAGCACCTGCAGCAACAGTAAACAAAAGATGGGAATTTGTTTTTATTTGTTTTATGGCTTTTGTTACTTGAACACAGTGAAGAACCCTCGGGGCCTTCAACGCCTTCAGAGAAGGCCTAAGAATTCAGCACATATTAAATATTACATTTAGAATTTTAATCTAATATTTATTTTATATAGATGAAATATGGTAGTTTTTTTATTTTAATTTTTTGCTCATTTCTCTTATTTTCTATAAATTACTTTGCAGCCAAGCAAACTTTTTTTTTTCAGTTCATGAAAATACAGTTAACCAATCAGATTATTTTATTTTTTTTGTCTCCAGGCAGAAACAGAAGGAGCTCTCACTGGTCAGGACTTCAGTGTCAGGAGAGAAGGCTGAGCTCGGTCGAGTCTCTGCAGGATGAGTTTAATAAGTGACAGGAACAGGAACCAATCACAATGCTGATGTAGAGTGGGTGGGACCAAAACGCAGAGCTCTGAGCCTTCGAGAAGGCCCTGAAAAATGTTTATTTACTTTTTGACCACATGACAATTTGTGTTTCATTCACTTGAAACATTTAAATTAAAAGATTATAGTTGCTCTAAAAAAAATAGTTTTTTTAAATAATGTAGCAGACCTGACGCCACATGAGTCAAAAAAGGAGAAGTCCTTCCTGTTGGCGTGTTACTGGATTCAAATTTAACTATAAGGTGATGTAATCGCACTATTACATAATATCGCAAGGATTGATTAAATATGTTTTATTTATGAAGACATTGTGGGGTTTGGAGATGAGCAGCTGGGTGTGGAATAAAATAAGACATGAAACAAAACGGCGGTTTAAAATAAACAACTACTCCGACGGTCATTGAACGCAACACTGGATCTCTTGCATAAACAGGAAATTGTAAAAAATAATGGGAGTTTTCTGTGGTTTTCTGGATCAGGATGTTTCCAGGTGGGTGGGATCTCGTGATTTTAGTGATGATGGACCTCCTACACACAGCTGTGCGTAAACAAACAGGTCCTGTCCAATAAAGTGTCTCCTGGGAGGTTTCATTGTTGTGGACCAACCTTGGTTGCACATGGGGCAGCACAGGCCGTTGCTTGCAGTGAATTCTTCGTCTCTGCAGCCTGAAGCTGAGGCAGTGAAGGCAGCACACACTGAAAAACACCCACCAAGTGAAAGTGTCACGGCTGCAGCTCCTCTAGTGAAGTTTTATGCGTTTTTCCGGTGACTCACCGAACACCAGCTCTGCAGTAATCATCATGTAACCTGCTCCCACATGAAGAGGGCGGCTCTCCACCATCTACATCAGCTCATATTTGTAGGTTTGGTCCGAAATAAGATCCATTTTCCGCAGCAGGAGCGAGAAGGTCGAGTGAAATGCGGAAATGATCTGTCTCCACCAGAGGAGGCGCTCCTGCATTTCATACCATTTGCTTTGGGTTTCTATCTCCTCCCAGTGTACAACACAGACGTGCTCAAAAATAAATACATCATTATGAAATAAGAAAAATTGGCCTATTTATTTCATAATTGTGTTTTTCATAACGGCTTATTTATTTCATAATGCCACTTTTGAGCAGAATGACGTCAGTGGGTTGGAACTGAGGAAAGCCGAGATGCTCAAAATTAAATAATAATTTAGGAATAAAGGGTTGATGTTCCTCAGGCAAAGGAGATCTTCCATCCATCCATCATCTTTACCTACTTCGTCCCTTTCAGGTCGCAGTGGTCACTGTGAGAGGTGGGGGACACCTGGACAGGTCTCCAGTCCATCACAGGGACAGAGAGACAAACAACCATTCTCTCTCTCTCTCTCTCTCTCTCTCTCTCTCACCTAGGGACAATTTAGTTACCAATCAGCCTAACATACATGTTTTTAGTCTGTGGGAGAAAACCAGAGTACCTGCAAAACAAAACCACACATGCACAGAGAGAACGTGCAAACTCCACCGATGACCCTGGTACATGAGATCTTGACCTATGAGAAAGATCCGAAACATTCCTGCTGTTGAAAAGTACCTAAAACTGTGTGTGTGTTGAAGCTTTCACTTTCAGTTTGTGTGTTTGTTGCACATTTATGACTTAACTTTGAAAGCAATATAATAAGAGAAATAAGAAATGTGTCAAACGTGTGAACATTCAACTCTGTGCAGCTGTTACTCTCATATCCTGTGCAGCCTGGTTATTTCCCCTAAACCTGTATTAGACAACATTTATAACATTTATATACATTACATACCTAAAGTTAGACCTGTATGGAAGGCCGTTTCTGCCACTTTGATTATAAATAAAATAATTTGTCGAAAATATGGGGCGTAACAAGCTTTCAATAATTCAAAAAGCGTTCAATACAACAACAACTGGACTTTATTTGTAACAGAAGACGTTTCGCTCCTCATCCGAGGAGCTTTCTCAATTCAAAGAGCAGAGAGTGAGAGATTCAGGTTATACGGCTGAGTGAGATAAGACACACACACACAAGACACACACACACACACATATATGTATATTGGCAGTTCACACCTAAAAAAACCTAAAACAGTAGGTCTTTGTTCCTCTAATTCACAGACGAGGCCCCTCTGTTCCCATCAGGTGTGAAAACCGGCTGGGAATCTGTTTTAAAGTTGCATTATATGTTTTTGAAAGTGGGAATCTGAGGCCTCCTCCTCTGTTAAGAGAGGGTTTTTCTCTTTTTACATAAATTGCTTCCTTCACCCCCCTCTCAAACCATCTGTGTTCTCGGTCCAAAATGTGCACATTTTGGTCCTCAAAAGAGTGTCCCTTATCTGTGAGATGGAGGTGAACAGCTGAGTCTTGTCCTGTGGAGCTGGCTCTCCTGTGTTGAGCTCCTGTGTCCAGCTCCACAGTCTGCTAACGATTTCCTCCTCCTGCGTTACGAGGACGGCTCGTGGCTGGAAAGAGTCTGGGAGCTGGTCTAAAATCATGGATCCAGTTGGTCCATCACTTGTGGTCTCTCCTGCATCTCTGAGGAACAACCTTAAAAAGTCTGGGACACTCGTTTCCAGCCAAGCAAAAAGCTTTGTCATTAATGTTTACAGGCTGGTTGGTAGGCTGGATGTGACAGGCTGGTTATCTGAGGCTTGATCTTGCCAAATAATTCAGTGTTTTCAAGTCCTTTCCCACCATCACCGGATCATGTCTCATCCCCGTCAGTCTTATTGAAGCTTCGTATTAAAGTTAAACAGATGAGTTCTGTTGTGAAAACCAGCTTCTTTCAGCTCGTCTGCTTTCTAAAGTCACTCCGTAGTGATCTGGAGGTCATCCGTGCCTTTGTGAGCTCTAGGCTTGATTACTGTAACACCTTATATGTGGGTATAAATCAATCTTCTATCTCCTGTTCACAGCTTGTACTAAACTCTGCCGTTGTTGACCAACATGTAAATACGAACACGTCACTCGTGTCCTTTCTTCTTTGACTGGCTCCCAGTTCAGTTCAAGCTGCTGCTGTTTGTTTTTAAAACTTTGGCCTTGCACCGTCCAATATTTCAGAACTTTTGAAAGTCCACCAGCCCAGCAGAGCTTTACCGTCTGCTGGTCAGTATCTGCTGGAGGTGCCTTGCTCAAGGTGCTAACAATGTGGGGACCGGTCTTTTTCAGTTGCAGGTCCACCAGCCTGGAACTCTTCCCCGTGAGCTGCATGCCATCTCTGATCTGGTTCTGTTCAAAGCTAAACTGAAGACACTTTTATTTTAAACGGTGTTTGATGTTTAACTTTTCGTATTTTAATATTTTTTATCTCCTCTACCTCCTTTTATTGTGACTGTTTTTAATTTGCAATAATTTATTGTGCCGTTCTTGTTTTATCTTTTAAAGCACTTTGGTCGATGCAAGTCGTTGTTGGAAGGTGATATATAAATAATGTATTTTATTATTATTATTATTATTATTAACTCTGCATAGTGTCACAGACAACTGGGACTTTTGATAAGTAAATTTATTTTTTGGGGTTTGGTTTGTTGCATCTTACCCGTGTGGTTTTTATATTTATTTTGGTTGCTGCACGTTTTGCTGTCGCTTTGATGAACTCACATTAAAGTTTTGGCAAAAGTGTTTTCCGTCGGATGCCCTTCCTGACGACCCTCACCATTTACCCGGGCTTGGGACCGGCACAAGAGACACACTGGCTTGTGCTCCCTAGTGGCTGGTTTCAAAGACCATGAGGAGGAAGAGGTCCTGGGATGGACTGGAGACCTGTCCAGGGTGCACCCCACCCCTCGTACACAGATTGCTGGACATGGGCACCGGTGACCCCCATGACCCTAAAATGGAAGAAGCAGGTAAAAGATGATGGATGGGGCGTGTGGGTACCAGTGGGATTATTTGGGTGGCGATCAGGCCTCTTCTTAGTCCCTGTTCCATATCTGTTCTTTTAAAGCATCTGGTGGAGGTGGACGTGCAGTTGGGATGTGCAGACTCGCACCAGGAACGTCCATGGACTCTTCTTCTTTCTGGTGCGCTGGCTGAGAAGACTGACACTGAGCTGTACCCCATGTGGATGGGACAGTGTTGCTTAGCGTATGATGTCGTCATCTCGCCCTGCTGGTGTGGAGCAGAGTGACTGATCGTACCTGGATCATACGTCATGAACTGAACTGTGGTGCAGAACAGCTGAAACTAATCTTGGCTCACTGGTATTTCTGCTACTTTTTCTTGATTACCCCTTTTCAGACTTTAGCTCCTCCGTCTAGTTTACATCTTCTTTAGGAGGTTTTGAACACAAGTTGAATCTTTTGTTCTTGTCTCTGTTCCTCGCTGTGCTCGTGTGAAGCTGTGACGCACCAACGCAACGCTACAACAGCAGGCAGTATTCTTCTGTGAGCCTTGGGCTGGATGTTCTCCAGTAGCTTCAGAGTCTCTGAGCTTCACAGAACAACTGAATCTTGTTTTGATCCACTGAAGAGAAGCTGCAAACAGAAGCTGTTCCTGCTCTCACCAGATGTTTCATCCTGTGAAGAAAAGCAAAGTAAGCTATGAATAGGTTAGCTAGCTAATTCATCATTTAAGTAGCATCTTTTCTAAATGCAACAAGTTGACTAAGAAAAGAAAGAGAGTAGACATCTTGGTGAAGAAGTTAAATGGTCTCAGTGTGCTGCTGAAGTGATTTTTCTTCAAAGGTTCTTAAAACCAAAGATAACAAATGTCTCCCAGCAGTGGATCAGAACCTCCTGATTTATTTTGTGCCTCCTCCTCCATCAGCTGGAGGCTCACTAACAGCTGCAGATTACTCAGACTCACAGAGAGTCGGGGACGTGGTGAATGTTCTACATCCAGTCGGAACTTCTGTCAACATGGAACTTCTGATAAAACCATGCCTACTTCTTCTTCCTTCTTCTTCTTCTTCTCTGATGCTGGTATTCTGTGGAGACATCAGTGATACTTCTGATGGATCTGGTTTGGACTTTTTGGTAACAAATTAAGAGAAACATTTAAACATTAAACATTTAAATAAATAAAAATGTAGCAAACAATGAAAATTAAAACATACCTCGTGTTCTATTGAATAATCTTTATTTGGTTTATTTTTAAAACAATTTAAAACATCTGAGAAAAAAATCAGACATTTTCATGAGGGGTAAAATATAAAAAACAAACTTTTTATTCATCAAAGAGTCATCATAGACTTTACCTGGTTTTTTTCTTTTTTTCTTTATGTATAAAATCGTAGTTACAGCGAGGCCAGCCAGTACTACAGCAGCACCCACCACGGCTCCAATCACAATCCCTGTGAAACTTTTCTCTCCACATTCTGCATCAGCTGAAGCTGTTCCTGCTTTTATCAGCTGAAGTTTTAACGTTTCACATCTGGAATAACAGAGAGACACTTTGACAGAAAAACAAACGCAACCACCTACCAGCTGTTGTTAACATCCAGATGTGTTTATTTATGTATTATAGAGAATCTCTTACTGTGTGTGAGGCTGACAGGAAGTGACTGATCCGTCTGAAAACGTTCCTGTGCTGCAGTCAGAACACTCGGTGTCTGAGGACGACGTTCCTGCAGAAAGACGAGGACACTGACTCAGCGTCCACACATCAGGTGGTACATGGGATCAAAGTGAACACTGAAAAGAAAGGTTAGAGAAGTGCGTGGGCATCACAGGGTCAGCCCTCAAATGGTTTAGATCCTACCTCGCTGACAGATCATTTTGTGTCTCCATCAAAGATTTTAGTTCAGCATTGGCAGCGCTTAGATGGGGGGTACCGCAGGGGTCCATCCTCGGTCCCCTTCTATTCTCTTTATACCTGCTGCCACTAGGTGATATTTTCCAGAAACACAACATACATTTTCACTTCTACGCCGATGACTTTCAAATTTACTTCCCCCTAAGACACAATGGTACATGCTCTATTCAACCTCTGCTCAACTGCCTGGCTGACATCAGAGACTGGATGGCTTTAAATTTCTTAAGTTTCAATGAGAAGAAGTCTGAAGTCATGTTGTTCCCTCCCAACGACACGATCATCAACCACTGCAACAACCTTTCTGCTCTGGCTCCGCTAGAGAAACAAAGAGTCACAAATCTGGGAGTGATAATGGACCCTTCCATGAAACTTAACAGTCATGTAAACATGATTGTTAAATCATGCTTCTTCCAGCTGAGGCAGTTGTTTAAGCTGAAGCCCATATTGTCAGAAAATTACCTGGAGACAGTAATACATGCGTTCATAACATCCAGGCTTGATTACTGCAACTCGCTCCTGTTTGGTATCAGTCAGACCTCCATTGCACAACTCCAACTGGTCCAGAATGCAGCAGCCCGATTTTTAACCAGTACAAGCAAAAGAGAGCACATTACACCAGTTTTGGCCTCACTGCACTGATCACCTTCAAATCCAGTTCAAAATACTCCTGTATGTCTACAAATAACTGAACAGTTCTGCCCCCTCCTAGCTCACTGATCTGCTGCAGCCATATGTCCCACCATGTTCTCTGAGGTCAGCAGACCAGTTGCTCCTCACAGTTCCAGGAACTCGTCTTAAGCGCAGAGGTGACAGGGCCTTCTCTGTAGCAGGACCAAGACTTTGGAACGAGTTACCTCTGTTTGTCAGACTGGCCCCCTCCCTGTTTTTAAATCCCGCTTAAAAACGCACTACTATTCTCTGACTTTCAACACTGTATGATCTGTGCTGAACCTGTATGCACCACACTGTTAGTCATTATGTTATTATCTGCTTTTTGTCTCTATATTTTGATTTTATGTTATATGTTGCTGTGTGCTTTACCTGTTTGTTTCTGTCTGTACAGCACGTTGGTTGGCCCTGTCGCTGTTTAAAGTGCTCTATAAATAAAATGGTATGTAGGTAAGAACTTCTCTGTGGAGCCTGGCGTGTCTGAAACACTCGTGTTGGGATGAAAGTTCAGAGAACGCTGATTTGATACGTTTTGTTTTCATTTTGAGAAACAGTTCTTACATTACGAGAATGAACATAAGAGAAGTGAACCCTGAGTTTAACTTGTCATGGGACCACCTCCGTGGATCCAAAAGGATTCTATAAAACCTGTTATCAGTTCATGTTCTGAGCTGCTGGATGTCTGGACCTGTGTGGACACGTAGAGCTTCACCTGTTTACTGCAGTGGAAATTATACAGCCCCAGTTCCCTTGCATGTATTTACTGGGGACTATCCACTTGAAAAGGCTTTAACTCTTTATCAACTTTAATGCGGCCCAAATCACAACGTGTCCCCCCACCCCCACACCCTGCAGGTCAAATTGTGACGAGTGTTTTTAACTCGTCATATTTCTGACATATGGTGCTGGAAAAATGTGAACATTCACACGAGCGTGAACCGATCTCGTCTCACTCACGCTTCTAGAATTTATTCTAAAGGCCTTGTAGTTTTTACACAGCAGCTGTCCAACAAAGTACGGTCAAATCAAAATTTTTACTTGGCAGCAGCCTGCCATCAAAGTTTCTCCTGGATCTTTCTAGTACTTTTATTGCTGTCACAAACCGTCAAGGTAAAAAGGCCTTTATTTACAGAAAAATACAGAGAATAACTTCTTCAACGTCCAAGTGAAATCAAAATTCTGTAAAGCAATACAGATCACATAAAAACACATTGAGTAAAATAATTTATTGCATAAATATTCACCACCTTTGTAGTGGGAGTCCTAATACAACTCAGAGAAAAGATTGAAAAGTGCAAATCAGGAGGACTTTTAAGAACTTAAAACATCTCCAGAGGAGATGGAATGGAAGGAAAAATAGAACATGTGGAAATCTACCAAGAGCAAGTCGTCCTCACAAACTGAGCTAAGCAAAGGAGAATAATGAGAGACCACCGAGATACCTGAGACCACTCTGAAGGAGGTACGAGCCTCAGCAGGTGAGAAGGAAGAGACTGAGCATACAGCGACTGTTGCCAGAGTTCTTCACCAGTCTGAGAGAGTGGCAAAGACAAAGCTAGCCAATATATATTTTGCTTAGTTCCCTAATGTAGATCTGATCTGGAAGACAAACCCACCTGTTTTGTTGATGTATTGTCCCGGTTTACAGAGTTTGTGTTTGTTAGCTGATGTACAGCTGCCGGAGGTGGAGTCGGTGCAGAAAAATCCCTCCAGAGGTTCACAGACTGTGTCTGATGTCTGCATACACGCCTGTTTAATCTTCAGGTTCAATCCTGTTGAAACATAAAGACGTCACACAGACAAAACTCTGAGTCTTTGTTCTGGGCTCAAGACTTTCCTTTTTGATAAATCCTATAGTTAGGGTTGGTTTCTTATGCTGCCTTAAGTTTAGACTACTAGAGGACAAACTGACCTCATCTCCTTAAATTAATTGTTAAAATTAAATAATTTTCATTTGATACTATTTCTATCTTAACATGTGATTCTTGACCTGCCATTGTGTATGTATTCCTCTCAAATCCAGCCGGTCGAAGCAGATGGTCCGCTTGTCCTGAACCTGGTTCTGCTAAAGGTTTCTTCCTCATGAGGGAGTTTTTCTTTCCACTGTCGCCTTCATGCTTGTTCAAGATGAGAGTTCTGCGATGGAGTTAAACTCAAAGCTGCTCCTCAGATAAATAAAGTTAAATTATTATTTTTATGTTTGAATGTTTCTGTTCAGTCCCTGAGACGACTTCTGTTGTGACTTGGCGCTATGTAAATGAATTGAATTGAATCAAGCATAGCTTTATTTCCTTCAGACACAGTAACTTCAGTGAAAAATGATAAAACGGACACTCATATGTGAATTTATTGACGTAAATTAGAGTTAGGTGTTAATATAAAGTGTGCATTTCACTTTACTGCAGCAGAAAATGTGAAGAACAAACAGTCACCTCCTGAACCACAGACGGAACACGACATGCACTGCTTCTGCCCATTAGGTTTGTCCATGTAAGTTCCTTCTGCACACGACAGACAGGAAGTGCTTATGATCTCTGTACAGTCTCTTCTTACTCGATTTCCTGTTGGAAAACAAAACAACCATTTGAAGTGCTGGTAATAATGAAGTAAAAATGCATTTAAAGCCTATAAATTCTAGAATTGCGCCGTTCCAGGTGGCTGCATGTTGGAGCAGCTCTGTTACTTTCATTCTGAGATTTTGCTTTAGGAAACTTTAATTCCTGGTTTCCAGAGCCCTGTAAAGAGAGAGTTGCGACACTCTTTGAACTCGCCGATACGAGGTCAGGTGGTTCATGCAGCTCCCCATAGTTCCAAACAGCTCATCGCTGTCAGTCAGTTTGAGCAGCTGCTGGCGCAACATAACACAAAAATCGACTTTTCTTACTTTACCTGACGTCTTTCAGTAATTACTGAGCAGTAACGAACTGATTACTTAACCGATTATTGATTATTTCACAGACTATGCATTTTATCAAAGCATTTTTAGAAGCGGCTGATACATTTATCATTAAATTTTAGAAGGAAATGAGACTGCAAACACATATTTGTTAGAAAAAAAAATGTATATGCAATACAGTGATCAATATAGCCATATCAGTGTTTTATAACGTTACACACGATAAAAAAAGATCAGAGTAACTCCTGTTATAAATCTGTTTCTGATGTTCTCTGCAGGATAATGCTCCTCCTTGTCCTCCATGCAGCATCAGATCTGCTCCTGCTTACCTCAGATCATCTGGATGAATTCTTGATTTCTATAGAAGATATTTCCTGATGCATGCTCAATAATCCAGGTAGAAAAATCTAAAAAAGTTAAATCTGGTCCTCTGGACATTCAAAAAAACCCAAAACAAAGAAAAACAACAAAAAATGTAGAAACGTTTCGTCTCTCATCCGAGAGACTTCCTCAGTCTGAGGAGCTGTATTCAGCTCAGTCTCTTAAATAGCACCTTCTCAGAGTGGATCAACCAGTTTTGCTGCTGACAACCAAAACCAGCTGATCACATGCTCAAGAAGGACCATCAGCCTAACAATGGATCATTAGCACACTGATGGCTGTTTACTGTTCACAGAGGGCTGAGTGATACTAGCAATCACAGCATTGTAAGAGGGGGACAGTTGAACCCGGAGGCTCCACCCCTGTTTAATGATGGACGATTTCTTTTCACAAAGATGGCC